AAAATCTCAATTAATCTAAAATAAGGCTGAAAAAGAGGGACAAGAGGAACAAAGACAATATGGGGTAAATAGAAAACAAATACCAAGATGATAATTTAATCTTCAACTAGTCAATAATTACATTAAGTGTAAATGTTCTAATTTCCCAGTGAAAATGCAGGCACTATCAAACTGGAGAAAAATGCAAGGCATAACCATATTCTGTCTACAAAAACAAAGGTAAAATTATTCTTAAATTTTACAAAAAGACATAAGCATGCTAAAAATTAAAAGATAAATGCTTCATATGTACTAATCCTAATCAAGAGAAAAGGTGACTGTATTAATAGCAGAAAGTTAATTTTAGAGAAAAATACTAGGGATAACAAGTACTTTTGGTTGTTGCTTTTAATTTGTTGTTGCTGTTGTTTGAGACAAGGTCTTGCTGTGTAGTTCAGGCTGGCCTTGAACTCACTGAATCCTCCTGCATCAGTTTCCTGGGTACTGAGATTACAAGCATGCAGCACTACACCTGGAAAAAAAGTCTTTTATCAAGTCTTATTTTGGCAATCCTGAATATTTTTTCACCTAGTAGTAAAAGTGAATGCATGAAGCAAAAATGGACAGGATTATAAGGAAAAAAAGATCCACCCATTTATATGATCAGAGATTTTAATATTTCCAATAATTGGTAGACTAAGTAAATAGAAAATCAGTAAGCATGTAGAATATTTGAATAACATTTTCAACCAATTTGACCTACATGGCATTTATATTTGTGTAGCCCTCCACTTAACATTAAATGATATACAGACCAAGGTCTTCCCTCCCCTTTTCCTTTTTTGCAAGTAAACATCTAACTGTTTCAGCAACATTTGTTGAGAGAATTATCCTTTGCACACTGAGTATCACTTGTGCTTTGCAACATATACAAAACTCACAATATATATATCACAACATATACAAAACTCAAAAATCACAGGCCTAGATGTACTACATAATGCTATCAAACTTCTAGAATAAAATATAAGAGAAAACCTTTGTGACTTTGGAAACAAAAATTTCTTAAGTATGACATCAAAAGAATATTTGATTAAAGAACAAAAAAAACTGTACTGCATCAAAATTTTAAAATTGTGCCCTTAAGAAGAAAAGTGAGTTTAAAAGCACACTAGACTTGAAGAAAATATTGGTAAATTATGTGTATGAAAAAAAGACTCCATGGTGTTTTAAAACTCAGTAAAAGGAAACAAATCTCACTAGAAAAACTAGGCAAAAATTTTAAGACATTCACAAAGGAAAACATGTGGACAGCAAATATGAACATGAAAAGATATTCTATATAATTAATCATTAGAGAAATGCTGGTTATAACCATAATAATACACCACTCCATACCTAGTACAATAGATAAAATTTAAAAATTAACCATACTAACTGTTGACAAGAACATAGGAGGACTAGAATTTCCTTACCACTGGTAAGAATGAAAATGACACCATTTTGGAAATTGCTTTGGCAGTTGTTTAAAAGAATAAACATACATTTATGATAAGCTCAAGCTGCTCCACTCCTCATATTTCCCCAAGAGAAAAGAAATTTTAGGTTTATACAAAGACTTATGCATGGATGTTTACATTGATTTTATTTACAAAACTGAAAACAAGCAAAATATTCACCAAATATGAACAGATAAATCAATTGTGATATGAAGTGCTTCTTAACAAGAAAAAGTAATTAACTCTTAATATATTGTAGTCAAAGCGGATAAATCTCAAAATAATTATTTTGCAAGAAAGCAGACCCTAGAAAAGTACATACAATATGGTTTCACTTATATAAAACTGTTACACACGTACACTGTAGTGACAGAATAAGACAATGATTTCTGGGACTAGAGTCCAGAATCTCATGGCACACAAGGGGACTTGGGAGAGAATGCATGTGTTCACTTTCTTGATTTGGGTTAGAATTTCACACCTATTCAACTTATACACTGTAAAAACATAAGCTTATAATATGTCAATTATGTGGTAACATGTTTGACTAAAAAACACAAAGTAAAGCAAAATAAAACCATTACAACAATAAAAACAACCAAAAAGGGGCTGAGAATTATGAAAATGGACCAAACTACAGTGTAAAGGTGTGAACAAGAGAAAAATGTCAAGTGAGTCAGTTATTTAGGAAAAGTATAATGTCCATCTATATTTAACTGTTTTGAAATGAGTTTTTTAAAATGCTTTTAAAACTACTTGAAATATTGCAAAACAGTGTCAAACAACTCTGAGTTCAAATACTGTTTTATTTTTGAGACACTAGAGACTGGGTCTAGGGCACCATACCACCAAATTACACCCCCAACTCTTTTTATTTCAAAACAGGGTCTCACTAAATTGCCCAGCTTAGGCTCCAACTTGCAAACTTCCTGCCTTAGACTCCTAGCCATTGTACTTTAGGTGTATCAAAATTTCATTATTCTACAAAGACAGAAAACTCCACTCAATAAAAAAAATAGTTTACCTCAAAGGACTGAAAGACCAGATGGTTCTGCCTTCAGACTAAGCTTGGTTTTCAGAGATAAATCAATTGTGATATGAAGTGCTTCTCCTTTGGGTCAGCCCTCAATTTCCCCTATCTTGGCCCTGCTTCTTGCTGTTCTGTTGTATTATTTGATTCCCCATTCTCTCTAGCTGTGATAGGATGGCTGCTACCATGTCACCTTCCTTCCCTAAATCTAGTGAATGAGGGACTCCACTACTCAGCTGATTCAGAGAAAGGGGTCTTACTCCTTCTGCCTAGCTTAGATCACAGGCTTCAAACCAATCTCAGGGGACAAGGCAATATTTTATTCTGATGAATTATACTCTTTATCACACATATTCTATTCTTGTTCAACTAGAATTCCATCCAGAGTACAGGATAAATTGTGTAGGATAACCAACATGGGGGTCATTTCTATGAGAAAGGAATATGGTTTCTGGAAAATGCTATGGTAGGAACATTTGTGTCTCCCCCAAAATTTCTATATTGTAATCCTAATCCCACAAAGTGATGGTTTTAAAGACTGGGACTAATATCCTTACAAAAGAATCACAGAAAGTTGACTATCTCCTCCACCATGTAAAGACACACAGAGAAGTTACTGTCTCTGAACCAGGCGGCATTGCCTGGAAATCAATCTTCTAGCACCTTGATCTTGGACTTCCCAGCCTCCAGAACTATAAGAAATCAATTTATATTGTTCCTAAGTCACTCCACTTATGCTATTTTATTATAGGATCCGCAGTGAATTAAGACAGGAAGGAAACACAAAATGTCCACTCTAATATAAACCCTGTTTCCCAAACAATATAGGTGATCAGGATATGCTATCTCCAATTTTATTTCTGGATTGGAAAAAGGCTAATGGTGTTGTATTACACAGCTGAAGACATAAAAACCATTAATGGAGAAAAAGCTTATTCAGTTTTCTCCAGTTTTTCACCAAGAGATGTGATCAAATTAAATAAGAAACACTATTCAAATAGAATACACTATATTATAATCACTCGAGGAAATGTTGAAGAAACTTAAGCTTGAGGATATTATAGTAGCCTTCAGCTCTTTCAGAGGATGTCCACAATCCTTTGCCTGGTAGGAGGACCCAACAGTTCTTTTACTTTCAATTAGGGTAATTTGTGACTCTGACTCCATGTATCCCCTAACTCCAGGCAGGACCATATGATTAAAGCCAGGCCAGTAAAGTTGCAACTCTCACCCCATAGCAATTGGTTTTGTAGAAACACGTGACCTAACCAATGCCGATAAGAGAAAACCAAGAACTTTTGCTGGATTTATTGAACATGACAGGCTCTTCCTGGTAGGGTCACTAGGCTGATAGGTTATAAATCTATAGCTGCCGAAGGCTACTTTTGTTACCATTACAGAGACCTTAACTGAGAAGACAACAAAGAAAAAAGGGAAATTTAAAGACAGAAAAATTTGGGTGGCCACATTTGAGCCACTGGATACAGGGTGCAGCCATACCTCAAAGCCATGACATTCCTCAATTTTCTAGTCAGGTGACCCAATAAAGTCCTGTTTTTCTTAAGTCAGGCTGAGTTTGTCAGTAGAAACAAGTCTGCCCAGTCACAAAACTCCTCAGCACCCACACAGTCAATTCAGTCCCAGACCCTGGCAAGGTTTCAAGTCATAGAGGACAGTGAGCAACAAATTCACTTTCTGACAACTGAGCATCGGGTCTCTTTCTTTAGATTGTCTACTCCTTGCATGTCTGGCTTCCAGCAGTTGAATTGTCTTTACTGTCCGGTTATTTGCATGTTGTAACCATTCAATTTACAGCTGTGTCAATGCAGAACTTGAAGTGGGTAAGTGCAATAAGTTGATTCTATTTGCTGTTATGCCAGGGCCTACCCGGATCCAATCATCCTCCTGGTGACAGATCTATAGCTGGGGCAGGGATGGAAGCCAGCACAGTAGGGGAGGGAATGAGGATGAGGAGTGAGGTTTAAAGAAGGCAACCACAAGAAAATAAGGAGAGACACCTGGGTTTTGTGGAAAGAGCACCGGACCAGTGACACCAAGACCCAGACCTTGGTTCCAGTACTCATCCTGCTCTATGTTAGACAAACTCTTGGGCTTGATCCCTTCATTTCTCTCTCACCAAATATGTCTACCAGGCCCCCTTTCCCAGGATGAGTGGAAAAATGAAACAACAGATAAGCAAGCACCCTACAAATAGACTGTGTATTCCTCTTACTGAAACTAGCACTTCTATAGGGGAAAGCGTTTGGGACAGGACAAGGCATCCTGGGATCCAGATGTTGCTCCTGCAGCCTCCCCTGAATTCTCAATCTTCCTGGAAAGGCCTCTCCTCCTCCATCCCCTATTCCTCCTGCAATAGGTAAGCATGTTCAAGTGGGAAAAGTAGGGGAGATGAGCCTGAATAGATCTGTACCAAGGCTGCTTCCACTAGTTTGTCTCTGTGCAATCTTGGGAGGGTGAATTGAGGATTCACCTTTGGGAACAAGGGACTTTATTTTTCTTTGGGTCCAAGGGCACATCTGTAAGTAGTGGTTCCAGGCTAGGTAATGTCAATTACAATTCTGTCAGTAGCCTACTTTTCTTGAGGCGTTATGCAGCAATGGACAGCCTGTGCTGAGCAGGGGCACAGGCGTTAGATTCAAATCTGGTTCCACCACTTGCTCGTGAATGACTTGGGGTGAGTGATTTCAGTGGTCTCAGTTTCCTCATCTGTAAAGGGAACATAATAATATATACTTCAGGATTGTTCTGTTAATTTAGTTCATATAGATAAAAAGTGCTTACAGCTACATTCAAATTTAGATTTCATTGATGTGTAATTATCTAATGCTCTCAGCAACCCTCTGAAGTAGACTACTATTATCATTTTACAGAAGTGGGAACTGAGGCTTATCAGGACTAATTAACTTTCCCAAGGTCACACAGCCAATTAGGGATAAGGTTGAGATTTGAACCCCAGTTTGCCAGGTTCTTACACTCCTGCTACGTATCCTCCTACCATATCCAGGCTTCTCAGCTCAGCACTATGAACACTGGAGTCCAGATCATTCTGTTTAGCCACACGCCTGGCCTCTACTAGTAAGTACCAAAAACACTTCCCCACGTTACCTGTGACAACAAAAAATGTCTCCAGATTGGTGAACAAAACTGTCCCCCTAGTTGAAAATCACTGCACAAGATGCTCCCCAAGGTCATTTTCATAACATTCATTGCACAGGTCTTCTTCTACTGGAACTCTGACAAGGTGACTTTCTAGAGAGTGATGGCAAACCTTGTAGAGCTTTCAGTGATAACAAACAGCTAGTTGTGGCACACGTGCCATAGGTTCACCACCACTGCTCAAGGAGAACAGGGAAGTTCCTGAGACTATTCATCCCAAAACATAGACAAAACCTAGTAGATATTATGTTCCTGGGACTTGCCTACTTCACTCTCACAAGGTGGCAGCTAGTTCAAGTGGTACTTTATGCAAATTAAAGTGCACTGTATCAGTCAGGGTTTACTAGAGGAACAGATATAATACAAGATAAACAAATGTACAAGGAATTACAAGTTTGGCTTACAATGGTCAGCTACAGAGTTGGATGAGGAAGCATGCAGAGGGTGTCTGCACGCCGGAGATTGAAGAGCCCAGCCCTGGGCCTGGAGCTCGCTGCAGTGTCCGTGCAAGTCCGTATCAAAAGGCTGATAGGTCTGCGATGGAATGCTGAAGAACCTACGATGAAGGCCGGAGAGCCAACACCAGAAGGCTGAAGAGTCCAGACAGAAGCCCAACAGTCTGCACCAGAAGCCAGGAGACCAAGCTGAAGGTGAAGACCGGAGCTCCTCTGAAGAACCAGCAGCCAGGCCTTCCTCAATTCCTTTTTTATATAGTCTACCCACTCTGGGGAGGTGGGGGTGGTCCTCCACACCCACACCCTCTGCATGCCTGCCTCTTGCACAGGCTCAGGATGAATACAAAGTAAGCACCCTGGACCCCTTCTGAGTTGCATAGTTAACCTTCTAAACTTCTCAAATTAACACAATAAACAACATCCCAGAAGGGTAAGGGCTTGTCCTTTTCACCCCAAGAGGCAGAACTGCTGAGTTACTTAGCCAAAGCTCTAGACTCCCCAAGTTGGCGCAATGTATCAACCATAACATGCACACTCTCAACAAATTAATGCATTGAATATTTTTCATTTTTTAACATCCTTGATGTGTCTTACAGTCAATGTACATCAGGATTTGATTGACAGCATCTTGCATTTCTTAATTGTTTATAAACAGTGGTGTATTGTGCAATCAGTAGCACCCTAAACGTGATTAAACAAAATCTGCAAAGCCCCACATCCCCAGTCTCAACTCTGGAAAACATAAATCAGAAAAGGTCACCATCTCAGAACAGAAGCAGCCCAAAAGACCACGGCTCAGTCAGTGGGGTGAAGAAAGAATTCCCTCCTGGCAGTCACAGGGCGCAGGGCTTGAGGCCAGAGCATGGCCAACATTTGAGTCTCAGGTGCATTTGTGTAATAATATAAAGCTCATACAATGTGTGGCAGCCCTGCCAGCCTCACAATTGTCTGACCAGACACTAAGAATTAAAATACTCTCAGACACCACTGGATATCCAACAACTCCTCAAAATCACAAACAATTTCAAGCTACAATTTCTTGAAATGTTTTTTTTTTTTTCAAACGTCAACAAAGCAGAAATTTACTGACTAGAAATGCCAACCAATTACCTGCAACTCAAAGATAAATGAATAAACACACACATGCACACACACACAGTAAAGGGGGGAATGTTCCTTCCACAGGAGACAAATGTAGCAAAACATCTATTAATGTTGTTCCCTGAAGAAGAATGAGTTAGTATAAAACTGAGAAGGACAACACTCATGCATCTTTTCTGTCTTCATAAAATATAGCCTACTTAAAATTGATGTGATTACTTATGAAACCAAAGTTTCTCTATTTTTTCTTTTTTGATAGCTGTGCCTTAATATGCTTTAAATGTGTAATAAAAGTATAAGGAAAAAAATACATCTATTCAATGTGGCTGCTACAACATGTGCTGTAAAGCCTGAGTTCTATAAAGGTGAATTTTATGGCATTTCTTACGCCCATTCCTTCTACTTAGAGCTGCCCAACAGTACTGGTCAGAATTTAGTACTTCTCTCTCTCACCATTATCTCTGAAGAAAAGTGTCATGCTTTAACTTGCTGATCCCATTCCTGCCCCTTCCTTTTTCTTCCATCTTAGCTCCTAAAGAATGCCCCAGTTTCACTCATCTTTCCACCCCATCTCTCCTATACACACAGATGACCATCGAGGTGTAGCTCATCACAAAATCCACACATAAGTCACATTTCTAGATTCCCTTAGCCAAAAACAAGCTTTTACATTAATATGTTAAACAGTGGCTTTTGATCAAGTGGGATTAGCACACTGCAATTCGAGGCTAAATTTGTTTTTATAAATAAAGCTTTATTGAACACACCCATGCTCATTTGTTTAAGTATTGCCCATTCATGGTACTAAAGCAGAGATTTAATTGTCCATAAAGTCTAAAGCATTTGTTATCCAGCCCTTTACAGAAAAATTTTCCTGACCTCTGGGTCACAGCCAGATCTCCAAAGCAAAAATACTTGGGTTCACATCCCAGCTCTGGGACACAACAGGCCACACTGCTCTCCTCCCCAGGAATATCCATTCAAAGATGTTGATTGACTGTGATGGTTGCTGTACATTCCTAAGCTATAAAGAGAAGCAGTCCTTCACCCCTGCTCCATTTACCATTGCTCGTGATGAGACCTCAACACCGCTGCTCATGCTGCTACCCAACAACGATATGTAGCACATGGTCCTGTTCTTCATGCCTCAAGCTGCCTCTATAGTTGGAGGATCTGTAATCATCCCTTGCTGATGACTAAAAAGACTTCTTTCTTGAAAACAACTGTCACAGTACAGATTCCCCTAGAAGCAACCCCTGAGACAAGACTGGAGTGTAAACAATTTATCTGGGAGATAATCTCAGGAAACATCAGGGTGAGTAAAGCAAAGAATGAGGAAAACTGTTAGAAAATATGTGATCAAGAAAGTGACAAGGATGGACAACCACAACTTATTACTGATGAATCTTTGAACTACAGCATAGAACACATTTCCAATTCATTCTAGTGAAGATGAGAAAGAGCCCTCTCAAAGTTCTGTCCACCAATGCTAGTCATTGTCTCAAAGATGCTCCCAGGATGGGGGTATTCATTTCTAGTCTTCCCCACTTGCTAAGCAAGCATGCTCTGGAAACCAAGACTGAGCACTGGACAGATAAGTGGGGATGGAGATTAGAAATTGGACCAGAGTGCAATGAAATGGTTAAGACAAAGTGCCGTGGGCAACTACAGCATCAGACACAACAGGGGCCAAATCAGGGGCCCTCAGTGGATAGGGAAGATAGTATTGGAGTTAGTGGAGATTCAGATTTGATGTAGAAATTTAAATACACCTATTAAAGCTGCCATGTGACTGTTAAAAAAACAACTACTTTAGCAAAAGGCAACTAAAGCATTTGAGTTTGAACAGACGATATTTATTCTTCTGATAGAATTGCTCTGGGGTATTTAAAATAAGAGCAGCTCTCTACTTTCAAGATATTGTTAATGGCACTCAGTTGTCAATCAAGCTCTGTTTTCATTTCATTTGTCCTAGATGAAAATGTCCTCCTTTCTCTGCTCATAAGACATAGATCTCCTTGTTAGGGCTACAAAGCAATAATAGCCTTGTAATGATATGCCAAATTTTTAATATTTTATTGTCCCTCATGAGAAAACTAATACTTTTAGGTAGTTTGGTTTGCATTTTACAATGCAGTGAAAGACATTTTCAAGATTAAACCATTTCAAATTCATTCATTTTGTTGCCTTTCTTATTAATCCAGTCAAATAGTTCTTAAATATTTATTGTGTCGTTTGTTATAGGCAGGATGGGAGTGTTAAAAATTGTATGAGCCATAATTTCTGCCGTTAGTGAGTTTAAGGTGTTACAGTGAGCGTTCATTAATTTGGGCCTGCCCAACATCCTTCCAGTCCTTTTGGTGGTGGACCCTGGTTTCTTTTGAGGAAACTGTTCCCTCCTCTGCTTCGTACATATCCCAGTTCCAACACTGAAGCACACTGGTCAATCAGCTCTCGGCATCCTCTAAGATACAGGGATTGGTTCAGAGACAAGCACATGATCAAATTTGTCCTATCAGTGTGAACTCGAGAACTCAAACATTAGACCTTTTAACAAAAGCTGCTTTCTCTTTGTTCTATTAAACTTGAACTGGGAACGATTCAGGCTAGAGCTCCTGCAGCCATGTTGGTCCCATAAGAGGAGAGGCTATCTGAAAATGGAGGTGAAACATCGGAGCTAGAGGATAAGTGGGGGAAATGGAATATGCTGACACTGCTTGCCACTCTATACCAAACATTTACACCTCTCTAAACATTTTGGTGATGAATCCCAATAATTTGCCTTTTACCAGTAGGTCATCGGGGGCTAGATTTTCTGAAAAAAAAAGGGGGGTCTAAACAAACCAAATGTGAAATAAGGTAGCATTTAATGTTGGAGAAATTCAGGTGCTCATCAACATCATGAGACAGTAGTGGAATGTAGACACTGAAAAGTTAAATGTGTTCTTAGATATAATGACAAAAATATGAGTGTAGGATCACAGAGATGTGCTG